ACTAGCTGTATGTCATTACTTCGCTATGATGTAAAATAAATTGAAAGTAGCACTCTGAAGAAATAAGAAAAAACACATAATGTAGGCCGAAAAAAACAAAAATTGTATCAATCTAAACAAAAACAAAAAAAAATGTACGTACACTTCAACCAAAACAATGAACGTAACACAATCTGTTTTGTAGTTCTTGTGAAAAAAACATTCTTACATAATAAGTCCTGGGAAATTATTTAAGACAGGTGAAATAGGGGAAATAATCACTCCATTCACCACTGCCCGGTCACTTTAGGTCAATTATCCAACCCAGTGTATACTTTGGTGTGACATTAATGTCGCTCTACACAATTGTGGTGGTGAGGTGTGTGTGTGGGGGGGGGGGGGGGGGGGAAAGGAGGGGAGATAACCAACTCAGAGTGAACATAGCGTCAGTTTTTAGATGACTGTTCTAAACATACATATCTATTACACAAATATATATTACACACATATATATTACAGACAGATTTAAATAAGTAGCAGTGGTATTATGACAATATTTTTTTTTACAGAGGGGTCCATGGGGAGGGTGGTTGTAACTGTTTCATATAATTTGTAATCGTAATCGTAATCACTATCGCCCAAACTGTAAGAATACTACTACTTCATCGTGATGACCTTGTCAAAATTTCCCCACCGCTACGCAGTTTGCTCATAAGAAAATTTAAATAGAGGTGCCACATCAGTTGGATTTATTTCTGTATTGTAATTTTTTTTAATTAATCACACGATTCAAATATATAAAGTAATTATGTGTGAAGTTTTATGTATAACATTTTCTAATTCAATTATTCGTAAGCAAATACATTATACAGTTGCCTTAAACTTAACACGCCTCTTGCCAAGTGTTACTACCCGTAGAGGTTTTTGCAATGCATCGTAATGGTTATTTTTAGAATGGCAAACTGATGCAGCTGTTAATATGTGTTGTAAACGTAGACATTACTAGACTAGTACAATAATGCTTAATTGCTGCATGAAAAGAAATCTTGTAATTTACATAGATGTGCCGACCAAAAATATTTTTTAACAAACATCATTGTTTAAAACTTTGAGTTTAAAAACTTTCCAAAAAGGCGCCACTTTGCTGAAAATGGCCAGAGGGGGAGCGGCCGCTCCCCCTGCTCCCCCCTGCGTACGCTACTGAGCCTGACGCTAAAAAGCACATCGCCCAGCACCCCACACCCACTCACCTGCACAACTAAAGCGTATTGTGTGTAAGCATTTAGCTTTTTGTCTATTCTACTTTTTGTATTGCTTTTTTATATAAGGTGCCTAACATATGGGCTTCAAACTTAGCACACACAAGATGGAGAGGATATATATATATATATATATATATATATATATATATATATATATATATATATATATATATATATATATATATATATATATATATATATATATATATATATATATATATATATATATATATATATATATATATATATTATAACACCAAAAAATTTAGTTCCTGTATTTGCAAAATTTTACTGTTACTATTCTTATTACTCAACGACTGATTGCGTCTATTACGGTTAAGATAGGTCAAGATTGATTTATTTTTCGTCCATGTGACGTAACTGTCTAAAGCTGGTGACGTCCCCTTTCGCCGAGTTTCTTCCCCTTTCAACCTCTTGATGTTGGTGAGGTCAACTTATCAAGATTACCTCATCCACTTGACTAGCGCTTAACGAAGCGCGCTGACCTCGGCAACTTAAATGGGGCGAGATTTCTCGCCGCTCTCAGTCGGGAGTGTTGATTTAGCTCGGAGCTGACGTTAAGCTCAGAGTTGACACAAACTTAACTTAAAAAAAAAAATCTGGGCAAAGTTTTAATTCCCGTTCAGCCTCGTTAGATTGGATATATCGTTCGTGTGAGTCGATGTGTTTTTCTGTAAACGTCAGGTAAAATAAAGTTATTAGTAAAAATTTCATACTTATAATAAATTAAAACACTTTTTTTTTCAAAAGAGTGTTTTCAATAATAAAATACCTCTTAGGCAATAGTCTATTTAATAGTAAAACTTTGATTTAGAATAGAATCGTTGCTGATGTTTTAAAATAAGGATTTTTATTAAAGCGATTCAGAAAATCTGTTTTGTCTTAGTGAAATAGTCTATGTGAAATTAACTTTCAAACTTTGTTTTTTTTAACTTTAGTAAATAAATCTCACAGCTAACCACTTTTGTTTGACAAAATCAGTGACTATATAATTGTGAATATAATTGACCCTAAATTTGAAACTTTGTTGTTTTTATGTTTATGGATATTTCAACTTTAAAATTCTAAAGTCAAAACTAATTAAATTACCAATGTAATTACATAGTATGTTGCTAAGTTGTAAAAACTAAATTAAAACATAAAAGTTTATTTAACTAATTAAGAAAAAAAATTCCAGTGACAATTTCGATTAATTAGTGTACATTGCTGATCTTTCCTTGAAATTTTAATTACATTTTCCTCTTCAATTACTTACGACAGGCTCCGCCTTCGTTACTCACCACGCGATTAATCAATCACAGTTAATTAGCCGAACTAATTACACTTCTGATCCCTTTACTACCGTAGCAATCAAACCAATTGACTCTTGAACTTTGAACTTTAGCATCGAAAAGTTAATTATAAATTCCTGTCGCCTGAATGCATGGTTTGTTTTAGACGTTCGCTTGTTATGATTGTGTTTGTCATTCATTTATTCCGTTTTGGTTAAAATAAATCATATATTTTGTGATTTGTTCCTTTACTTGTTTTCTTTTTTAAGTTGCTAATTCTTTCATTGGTAATTGATCTATTCAAAACTTTATATTTTACTCGTTTTTTAAGTAATTTGTTTTTTATGGAGATAATCCATTGTTATTTCTTAATTTTCTGGTTATTTATTTGGTATGTTGTGATCACAGATGTGTTATTAAACTTCCACAGACGTTTTTTTCCCTTCATTACCGAGCGTTTGTTTTAATTATCCTTTTCCCTTGTGTTTTAAATCAATTACATCGCTTTATTGTTCTACTGAGTTCAAACTGGTTTCTTAACTGCCTTCCCTTCACTCATATTTTTCAAGTTTAATTATTTATTCTGTTTGTGTATGTTAGTCATGTTCATCTTGTGGTATTCTGAATAAAGTTCTCTTTCGAACCTGTCGGCTCAAGGGCAAATGAAGTAGAGTTCACCAGTTTCTATCAAACTCGGCATATGCGGGAATACTATGGTCAGCACTATGCCCAGCCGCCTATATTTTCCCTAACTTAACTAAGGTGCTTAGCAGAGTTTGGGGTAATGAAGAACCTGCTACGACTTTAGCCAGGGATACGAACTTTAATTTTCGGGTTTGCAGTCGAACGGTCTACCATTCGACCACGTCGTCCTATATATAGCATTCTGTGATGACGTCTCATCCACCTTCACCTTTACTCAAGTTACAAATACTTGTTGTATGTATATGTTGTTGTTTTCGAATTTCTGAAACATATGAACAAATTACTTTGAGAAGCTCGTGAATGTGAGACAAGACAAATATAATTTACTGTATTGACCATTAACTGTTTACAAACGCGGTCAGTTTGAAAATACCAGTCTTATATTTTAACGTGTAGGCCGTTTTAATCTTCGTGAGACGAAATTGAAATAGATTATATTATCCAGCATGGGGAATTGGCATACAGTGATGACTATCAGAGAAAACTTTGGGGCTTGTAAAAAAAAATTGAACTGTCTCCGAATACACCCTGATCCCCCTTTCTCAACCCCCCCCCCAGTAGCGTAGCGGGGGGGGGGGGACATATGTCCCAGGGCGCCGACCTTGGGGGGGCGCCAAAATGGGTTGGAAAAATAAATTGAAAGGTTGAAGGGGGAGCAAATCGAAAGTTTGAGGGGGGGTGTAAATCGAAATCTCGAGGGGGGGGGGGGGGGTGCAAATCGAAAGTTTGAGGGGGGGGGGTGCAAATGGAAATCTGGAGGGGGGATGCAAATCGAAAGTTAGACGGGGGAGGGGTGCAAATCGAAATCTCGAGGGGGGTGCAAATCGAAAAGTTTGTCCCCGGGTGCCGGGAAGGGTTGCTACGCCTCTGCCCCCCCCCCCCTTCCTCTCTGCACCCCATCACGTCACTTCTTACTACTTATTTTTCTCTGAATTAACCCAGTCCCACACAATACACGGACTGTCGGTTTTTGTTGATTGGCAAAGCGTTGTTCATACAGGAACATTTATTTTGTCCTACCCCCCCCCCCCTCCCCCCACTCAAAATGTATCCGACATTACTACGAACGACATATAAGTGAAATTTTTTATTGACAACAACAATTTCTCGTGTTTACTTTGATAAACTGAATGTTGACGTTCAACACACGATGTATCTGGCGAATCAAGTGATTTGTTTAACGTGTTATCTCCTTCTTAATGTACGGCTAATCTAATCACATTCACTTCCCGTCCTTAAGCATGGACTTCTTTCAGAGGCGTAGCGACCCTTCCCGGCGCCCGGGGACAAACTTTCGATTTCCACCCCCCACCCTCAAACTTTCGATTTGCACCCCCCTAAAACTTTCATTTTTTTTCCAACCCATTTTGGCGCCCCCTAAGGTCGGCGCCCGGGGACATAGCCCCCCCCCCCCCCCTCGCTACGCCTCTGACTTCTTTTAATAAACTGGACGGTCACCTGACCAAAATCTATCTTCTCATTCGTCGGTTATCTCCCTTTAAACAATGACCTAGCGTTGACCTGTGACCTAACAGATACACACCTACAGCAGTTTATTCATTTCAACCTGTCCTTAGATATAAATCCACTTTCAATCTTTTCATAGGTTTTTTTATTTTATTTTTTTCCAACCCGTTCTTCGGCCTAGATCACACTTACCCTCCCCCCACACCCCCACCCCCAAAATGACATAACGCGACGAAGGAGAGAGAGAGAAAAAAAGCCAGCCCACATTTAAAGTCCCCCCGTTTGACTAAATGGTTCTTTAAAGTGCCCCCGCGGCGTTTTGAATGTAGTCGTCTGCTAGACTTTCAACACCGTGGGATAACTGACTGGATTAGAGATTATAGCTGGATTATCGCTGGCTGGCTTTAATAAAATCGGACGCTAGCCTCAAAGCGCTTAAAACAAGTCAACTAGTCATATATTTATTGTTTCATTTCATTTGTAAGTAATTTTATTTGTAAATGTTTAATTCTACTGGACGATTAAGATTGAGATATCAATATTGGATTTTAATTTCTAACCTAATTATTTTTAAGAGTTAGACATTAAACTCTGCCTGGCTTGAAAAACTGACGGTGTTATTAAAAGTTTAAACCTTAACTAATTAACGATTCATTTTAATAACTAATTAAGCTTGTCATTTAATTTGTTAGTAATATTTTGTGTGTGTGTTTAATTAAACATATTGATAAAAATAGAAATATTTATTTAAAACATGTAATTAATTTCTAACGTATTTTTTGTTTTACTTTTTTTCCAGTTTTAACTTTATACTTCATCCAGGATAACTCTCAAAGAAAGTCTGTGTATTGTTCCCTGTCATTACTGCACGCGTGGCCTGATAGTATCGATACCAGTAATCGCTGATACACACGTAGTTGCGAATACATCTCACGTAGATTATAAAAACAATAGCCCAGGATATCTTTATTCACACGTGGCTCTTTCTGACGTAATTCTTACTGGGACGTAATAAATACTTGATAACACTTTTTTCTAAAAATAGTTTTATTTTGATCACTTGATCAACAGTGAATATATCGTACGTATTTATTTATTTTAATATAATATTATTCCTTATAAAACTAGTCGTGGTTGTATTGACAGTGCTTTATGTTAAAGTGAACACATTTGCTAGGAAAACAAATCTTGTTATTTTTATTACGGGTACACGGGAGTGCTATTTACGCAGGAAATATTAGTAATCAATTCAAGGGAAGCGACTCGACCACATATATTTCTCTTTATGATTGAGCCGGTGAATGGATTAACTTCTGAAAGAGGACTACGATTCAGCTTCCCTTTTTTAAAGCCGGGTTCTATATTTGTTGAAGGAAGAAATAATCAATCTGAACACGTTACCATGACAACGCTACCAGTATCCAAACAAGCCCTCTGTGATATATTCATATTCTTTGCAAGTGAGTACACAATATTTTTTTTTATTCACTTACTATTTATTTGTAACACACCTACTGTGGTTAAGGTTCTACTAGGCTCAGTAACAGTTAACCCTAACTAATGTCCTTAATATAACGTTATGACAGGGGTCGGCAACCTGCGGCTCGCGAGCCGCATGCGGCTCTTTTGATATCAAGATGCGGCTCTCCAGCTCTTTGAACAAATACTAATAATCTTAATAAAAAAATAAAATATTTTAAATTAAAAAAATTTTAGTGGCTCTTTAAAACCAGGGAAATTTTGAAAATTATAACTTTTGGCTCTTCCACTTCAAAAGGTTGCCGACCCCTGCGTTATGATAATGGGTCCTTCTCGGGTAAAGGTATAATGTGAGTTACAGATGGGAGACTAGTCAAATCTTCTATACCCTAAAGCAGTAAAGTTAAAAATCCTCGTTTCCCTGTTAAAGTAAAGTAAATTACCCTTTCGAACCTTACGGTCTATTCGCACCTTACGGGGTAAATAAAGTAGAGTTCACCTTTTATTCACATTCTGTAAATAAAAACTAGATAAGTTATTTTCTTCTAAGGTTTGAGATACAGGTTACTCTTGGCGACATGGTTTCCAATTTCATTCTGTCATCCTATCAGAAGACTCTTGTTACAAAATAGATCTTTTGTCTTTTGATTTCATTTTGCTACGAACTATATGTTAGTCTCCCGCTAATTATTTAATCTCTTGCAAACAAACTTAGTCACCCAAAACTGCCCGAGTAAAAATGCTATCTTAAATACTAGTTACACCTGGCTCCTACCCGGTTGTGGTCGAATGGTAGCGCGTTCGACTGGTAACCCAAAAGATTCGAGTTCAAACCCGGGGCTTGAGTCCGTACAGTGACCCTGAATCCACCCACCTATGTTGGGTAATTATTTCACGTTAAGTAAAGTAAAGGCGGCTGGACATAGTGCTGACTACACTATCCCTTCACCATCAAATTGATCATAGGGTTTGAAATGGTACTTTCTCTTTATTTTGTCCTGTAACTAAATATTTGCAAGAAATTATATCAAAGATTTATGGCTGAGAGTTTCGTCTTACAAGAGTGTCTGTCTGCAAAACTACTTCACTGCTAGGACTGTGAACAACCTCTAAGATAAGAAACAGCTAACCTCAGCGTTAAACTAAGCCAGACACACAACTCGGACAAATATCGTGACGACCTCTGCTAATCTGTTACGTCACGTTTTTTTTTCTTTAAATGTTCATTTTCCCACGCGACATGGCAATCTCTAAAACAAAACAAAAAATTTGTATTTTAATCTTGAACTTTAAAAAGGTGATCTGAGCTTAAAAAAATTTTTTTTTTTTTTTAAAATTGACTCTTAATACTTTTGCTTCTGCTTATAAAACTAAAATACCACAATTTAAGATTAAACTATAAGTATAATCTAGACAAAAAAAAACGTGTATTGCTATTCTGTGGCAAGCGACGTTGTCTGACAGTAAAGCGCACGACTGCTAACCCGATTGGTCTCGATTGGTACCTGACTCACGTTAAGGAAAGTGCTGAGCACACTAAACCTTCATTTGCCTTGGTCACAGTAACGGGTGAACTCTACTACCTCTGCCGCATGGGTCGCCAGGCTTTACTTACGTGTATTTACGTATCATTACAACTGTGAAGAAATGCCTTCTATAAGAGGTGAAACACGGCGGAAATGTGTCCAACACATTTTTGTACCGTTAAGTGAACATGTAAATGTGCTAAACAAATGAAGTTAATGCAGGTGGGTCAAACCTGTACAGTGAAGTAATTTAGGGAAAACATTTTTCTTTTATGACAATGACAATCACAACTTATTAAAAATTAATTAGGGGTCATCCATAAATGACGTCACACTCGTAGGGGGGAGGGGGGGTCCGTAATTTTGTGACGATGTGTGATGAGGGGGAGGGGGGGGGGTCAGATGTTGCGACATAACATTTTTGCATTATAAAAAAGCAATGTTAGAAAACGAATTTTAGACGTTATTTCGCGTTTTAGATAACTGTTTTAATAAATTGTAATAGTTTAGACAAGATTTTGGAAAAATATCGATGTTTTTAAAAAATTCAACTGCAAATTTGAGGGGGGTTGTAGGTTGAAGTGTGACGTCATTTTAGGGGGGGGTCTGGCTTTTTGTGACAACGTGTGACGGAGGGGAGGGGGGGGGAGGTAAAAATCGTAAAAAAAAAGCGTGACGTCATTTATGGATGACCCCTTAATAACATAAATCACGACCAACAAAAAAAAAATTAAAGTTTAGACATTGAACGGTTTTTTTGTTTGTGTTGACAACCAAATAGGATTTATTTAGCAACACCGTTTTTTAAATTTAATCTGACGAAGATTAATGGCCGAAACGACACGTTATTTTTGTTATTTATTTATCTTTAGATCAGCGTTGATAAAACTGATTGGAAATTTCGGTTTTATTCAAATTAGAATTTTTTTTTCTAGAAAGTAATCAGTATCAAAGATAATTTTTTTTTAAAAAATCCAATTCCGTCAACGTGGATGGTTAGGAAAAAATTCTATTTTTAGACCGCGTGATCTGGAAGTTGTTCAGTTTCTGTTATGACGTCACGGTTTTATCTACCACATACACTCGTCGTCTGCTACAGTTTTGCAGACACAATGATTCACCTTCTCTCCGGTACTAATTGCTCATAAATATACGGACGTAATATTCATGACTGAGGCTATACAGACCTATCTAACACATTACTTAGTCAACAACTAATGAGCTAATTGGCACGTGCCGATGTGAGGGCCCTCACTAGAGATGAAAAATTAATACACTGTTAATTAGTAGAGAAAAAAAATACATTAAACAACAAAATTATCATCATTAATTTTCAATAATTTCCCTAGGTTTTTTTTTTCTTTTCGTTCTGATGTCGGTTCTCCGGTATTCAAATACAATCATAGTTGATTTTGTGAATACCGTGACTTAGGTTTGTTAAAATTTACGGTGGTGTTCATTGATAGGCTAGGGGTTCGGTGAGTCAGTCTTAGGGGTTCGGTGAGTCAGTCTTAGGGGTTCGGTGAGTCAGTCTCAGGGGCTCGGTGAGTCAGTCTCAGGGGCTCGGTGAGGCAGTCTCAGGGGTTCGATGGAGGACAAGACACATACCTACTCATAAGATAGACAATGGGATTTTGTCAGTGTTGACGACAGAACTAGTAAGAAGGGTTCGGTCAATGCGCATATGAAAGTGAGGGGGTTCAGTATATCCAAAAATGTTAAGTACCACTACCAGTGGCGGAACTAGAAAAAAATGGCCACCCCGCAAAAAAAATTTTTAGGCCCCCCCCCCCCCATATATATATATATATATATATATATATATATATATATATATATATATATATATATATATATATATATATATATATATATATAAACAAACACAAAATACGAACAGAGCATAGGATACTCATTGATGGCCTGTTGGGATTTTGAAAAAAAAAAAAAAAAAAATTTCAATTAAAACAAATTATTACATCATGTCATGTGTGTAAGTGCATTAGGGTGTTTTGAGAAAATCAGTTTCATTTTATTTGCTGTGGATTCTACTATCAACTATTTGGCCAAAAGAATATAAAACATGAAATCTTTGTAGCAGTAATGGTGTCTCGTGTTATGATTATTTTTATGTTTTTTTGTATTTATATTATTATTTTAAATACATTTCCTTTTTATACAAGGTCATTCTTTAGTAAGTACTTTATGAAAAAATATTTAGTAAGAGAAGTAATTGCTTTTTAACTTGTTTAGTACAAATCTATTAAAAGGAGCTTATGAGCACCTCAATTTGACTATTCAAAAAAGGGAAATAAGTCATGGAAGTGGTTTGAACGCTTGCTTATCTTTGTTACGTTTAATTGTAGAAGAGAGAGGACTTGGCTTTCACAGTGGTTTAAAAAGAAAGGGAAAAAGAATATACAAGAGCGTGGGTATGGTGTCTATAGAATAAAGATATTCAAACCGCAGCTATGGTAATCGTTTTACAAAACAAACATCAAGTAAAAAATTGCAAGAAAATTAGATTTTTTTTTAACTATAATAAAAACTATTAGGGTCGGCCGTGGGCCCTAAATGGCGTGGGCCCCCCCGCATTGCGGGGTCTGGCGGCACTGTAGTTCCGCCCCTGACCACTACTCTAGAACAATATTTGACATTGCGAAGCTGGTATTCTTAAAGTACATTTTAAAAATGAATCTACTCCTAATTTTAAGTTAGGCTTTCATTTCTCTGTCCAGTAATGTATTTGTACCAAAGATCAAATATGGCACCATTTTTAAAAAGTGGGATTGAGACGTGAATCAACAACACGACCCTGTTTAGTCACCCAGTTTATTGCACGCCATAAACGAACGCAAATCTAAAAAAAACAGTGCGTATGTGAACGTCGGTGCGCTACGCAGATGCCTATTTTTAACGCAATGACGCAACACAGAAGCCTTCACCCAAACCGGTTATGCAATAAATATGGAATCTGTTTTCTGTTTTTAATTTTCCAATATTTTCCGAACTTTCTCGTGTGCCACCGACAGATCTTCCTCTGGCATCAATGGGAGAAAATCTTTCCGTAACGTCATTTCCGGTGCAGACATTTCTACCAAAACGAAAACCAAATCTCTCGCGAAACAAAACAAACCGGGTTTCACATGTGTCTTAGAAAACACACCGCGAACTACAGTAGAACACATTTCACAAGAGGAGGGGTTTGCTGGGCTGGAGAGAGAGAGAGAAGAAACAAACACAGTCAAGCAAACATGAAACTAGTTTCTGCCCGGCGAAGTACGGGCCGGCAATAACATAAATCGGTCGATACTTTTTAAAGTACGGCTGTCTTCAATTTTTACTGCGTTTTACGTCACACCTCTGGCGTTACCGGTTTTCTAAATTCTTGGTCTATAGTGAACTTGATTTAACTCTAGAATATCATGTTGTTGTTGTTTTTGAACTCTTTTAAT